GGGGCCTTCACTGTCAGACCCGCAGGCCAGAAAACCCTAGTTTAATTTAAAATATCTTCGGGTAAAATTTCTGGGGTTTTAGCTCAGTTTGCCGCCGCGTCGCCAAAGCGAGGCCTGCGGAGCGGGATGAGCAGGGACCTGAGGGGCGGCAGGGGGTGCGCCCGGGGAAGAGGCCCTCAGGGGTGGCGAGGAGGGTGGCGAGGGGGATGGCGAGGCGGATGGCGAGGCAGAGGACAGAAGGGAGAGTGGAGAAGAATGCCCGAACCTGGTGAGCCAGCCCGTTTTATGAAGCCTAAATGCTTTTCTTTTGACTGACTAGGCAAATACATCTGTTCGTCTCCCGGCGTTGGTCCTAAATAAGGGTTCTTCACCCGGTGTGCAAAAAACCCAATCGACATGCTGAGTCAAGATGTTTGTCTTTATTTCAATTCTGCAGAATTGGGCGCTGGGCATTTAACAGCAACCAGCACACCACATGTTTCTGGCAGTCCAATATTTATAGTGATAAGATACATCTGATTGGTGAGCTAGAGTTCTTTTACCATCCCTCATCATACACATGTGTTCAAGTTAATATTTTTAATATTTTGGGATATCTCCTTAAATAATGTGCTCATTATTTACGAGTTCATTTTAGTATTATGGTCTTTTAAGGCTCCTCTCATACACTTATCTCGACTCCATTCCAAAGACGATAGGTCTTGTCATGCTCCACTCAAATCAGAGACTGGGAGTGTACTCCCTTCCGTGGGCCTTGTTCGCCTGCAGTAAGCTTTCAAGATGGTAATCTCTCAACAACTCAATTTCTTTGATCTAAGTTTCGGTTAATTGTTTCTACATCTAGTCCAAGTGCAAAAGACACAATTAAGTTTTTCTTTCAGGAGTTCAGCTAAAGTTCAATCAAAGTTCTATTACTATTTTATACAAAGCACTTAAGTAACTTTTTTGACCATATTCTTTCGACATCAGCAGTGGTTGAAAGAATCACTGAGAATAAAACTTGGAAAGTTTTAGTATTCACATTGTTTTAATCCCCATTTTATTTTTTTTTTTTTAGTAAAATCTCGACTAGTTCAATCAACGCTGGACCAGTTTATTCCCTATAAGGGCTGGAAACTTTATTTCTCTGAAGGTATTTTTAGACCAAAATTATATGTAGCAAGTATTTTATTTCATTTTTTTTCTCTAATTGGTTATAAGTAGAGGGAATAACTTCAACAGAAAGCAACTGAAATTCCTATTTGTTATATAAAAAAGTTAATACAATAGAGATTTCAGTCTTGTGGCATGCTGTAATCTCTGTGGGCTCCAAACCTTGGAAAGGGATCTTGAATAGTGTAAAATGTGATCTTTCTTAGACTTGTTTGATTGGCCACATAAAACCTTCAGTCTATCAAAGACTGGAATATACATATCTCTGCTCTACTTTACTTGACCCTATGTGCTTGTCTTATGTCATCTTAGACAAAGTTCTGGTTTGTAACAGGTTGTATAATAGAACATTACTGTGATACTGTAGAGATCTATCGTCTTCCTCAGTTTTGTAATGCAGAAAAACAAGGGAAGAGAAATTGCCTCTTTGTGTTATTTTGTGAAGTGGAATTAATTATTTACATCAATTACTAATGCAAAGTGTTTCTAATTAGCTTATGCTGACAAGTCTCCTTTTGTCCAGAAGACTCAAGCCTTTGAAAAGTTTTTCATGCAACGCATTGAGCTTTATGATAAGGTAAAAGCAAAACAAAACACTCTCCCCCCCGACACCTATTGTTGATACAATAACATTCCAGATTTTATGTGTTTTCTCCAACAAAAATAACTGTCATAGATATGAAATGTTTATGATTTGATTTGGATGTGTTGTGTTTATAATTTTAAGTGTATTTGTTAACTTAAAATGTTTCACAGGATGAAATAGAAAGAAAAGGAAGTATTCTTGTGGATTATAAGGAACTAATACAAGACAAAGAACTGACTAAATCAATACCAAATATATCTACTGAATTAAGGGATATGCCTCAGAAAATACTGCAGTGTATGGGTCTGGCAATTCAT